TTTTTTTTTTTTTTTTGGGTGACATTTTTGGGCTTAAAATGATACTATGTTTTTCTCACTTATTGTCCTGTAACATTTTCATTTTTCTTATTTATTTATTTATTTTTTACAGTTTTAGACCAATGATGTGGTATGCATGTTTTCAATGGTTAAGAAAGTATATATATATTTTCTTTTTTAGTTCTTACAAAAAATTCTCATTGCTGGAAAACATTTAATTAGAACTTAACTTCTTATTTTGTTTCATAATAATAATTTAATAAACAATAATAATAAACTTCTCAATAAATAATATAAAATTTACATATCATGTTACAAAAATTCAATAAATCACTGTTCCTTCCGTTCTAAAATAATATTAAATCCTGCCGATGAACAATTCCTACAATTCATGAGAAATATCAATATTGCGATAATATAACCAATATTTTCAATAATAAAATAATGTTACAATAACAACGGAACTATATGATATAAAATACTTCTAATAGTTATACAATTGATATGATGATTAATTTCTTCTTTGACTTTTCTTATTTTAATAATAGTCCACATTTAGAAATTATTAGTCCTAATTTTGTTTTTTCAGTTACACATCTTTTGATAAACAAATATTAATGATTATATTTATGGGAGATGCTACGGTCCCGTTATGGAACCATTCCGTCGGGATTTGTAACCGTTAGATCAACTATCATTGACGGTTATATGATGATCTAACGGATACAAACCCCGACGAAATGGTTCTGTAACGGGACCATAGCATTTCCTTATATTTATAGTCCTTCCTATACATATAAAGTCAGAAGATTAAGATCCATTGTAATATTTATATATTTTAAGTTAAGGTTACAAATAAAATGATAATGTATAACCAATTCACCTTTACTTTCATAGATTTAACTATAGTCTACATACTTTTCTAAAAAAACTAATCGAAAGATCGGTTTTATAAAAAATCATTTCCAAGAAATCTATATAAATGAAAGCTTACCGTTTTTATTTCTGATTACCAAATAATTTTCAGTTTTCAATCATGAATTAAAACAAAAGATTTTTTAGTAAATTGGTAATTGACTTTTCAATTAATATTGACTAATTTGATTATCATTCTTCTACCAATTCAATTTCAGTTCTTTCAATCTATATATATATAATTGCTAGCAAATTTCAATAAAATTTATTCAGCCAACAAGTAATAAAAATAGGACTTTGTCCAACATTCAAATGAAAATATAAAAAACGATAATTTAAGTAAATTTTAATCTCGTCCGATCAAATCAAAGACATGGAATTCAAAAAATGAGGACGACCCACGAGAAAGAAAGCATACTTCCACTTGGCATATGTCAACAGAGAGAGTTTCAGCTCTTTGATTTTGCTCACAGCAGCCGGATTTCTAAAAATAGCCCTAACTTCCGAGACAATCCCCTGCAGACCGCACGCCTCCTCCAAACAATTTCTCCGGACATCATAGTATATTTGGTGAGGGAAAACTCCTAATCACCAGGAAACTCAAAATATCAATACCACCAATAAATAAATAAATAATGCAGTTTTGTTTTCAATTTTCAGTTAACTCACGGGGTAAGTGTTCTGAAGCTTCTTGAGTAAGGCTTACGGGCCTTTCTTTGGCATGATCAAACACAAGTTGCAGCACGCAATTAAGATATTTCGACTGGTAAACAATGTGATGGTCGAATTTCAATTCAATTCAATGCTGAAACCGATAAAGGGAATCACTTCCTCTTGTAGCGTGCAAGAGGGATGGTCGGATTCAACTTCCCAATTTACAATCTTTGTTTTCCTCAACAGGGGTTTCCCTTTGGAATTGGCTGACCGTAGCTAAGGAACTCGGACAGAGACAGTTCAGTGACCCGTTTTTCGTAGATTGTCCCCTGATATCTTCAATATTTCAATCAAAAATTTACTAGCTAGTTTCTTAAATACCAAAAAGAGATTTAAAACTTTACGTTATCTTGGGAGAAGATGGAAAATAACGGGGAACCCATCTTTTGTCACCTACAAAAATCAGAATGGGATAACTGAAAAAAAATAATAAATAAAAAAATTGATATTTAGTAAAACGACGCCGTATAAATATGCCAACCTCATTAATTTCTATTCAGATAAATTAAAGTAAAGGGGATAAAAAATTCAAAGCCAGCAGAAAAAAAGAAACCGATATAAAATTGAACATATGCATATATACCTGAACATCAAACTCAACGAAATCAATGCGGTTTTTGGCGACGGTGTTGAAGGAGAGGACGGTGTTCTCTTTCACGACGACTGCAACTCATTCATACCGTTCCCTCTGTGCCCGATCAACATAAAATTCGTCTCCGTCGTACTCCCAATCCCCGCGCCTGCCAATCACAGAATAATCAGCACTCAAAAAGGAAAAAATCAAAAGAAAATAGAACAAGGATGCTACGTACCCCTGGACAAGCGTAGAGAGAAACGGATGCATTAATTGTCAGGAACGTTATCGAGATTAATTGGGAACATCGGTGACGTGTACGGCTTTCAGAGCCATTGGTGATGATGATACAGGCAGAGGGATAAATCTGGGAGGAGTGAGAAAGATGGGGATAGAATGGGTATTTAAGGTAGTAATCAAGGAGATCACCTAGCTAGCTGGAATGTTCTTATGCCTCAAAATCGGTTATATGCTTTTGGATATTCCTTTTTGTACGATATNGGATTAAATTTCATGATATTATTATTAAGGATTAAATAAAATCGGTGACAGAGTGAGTATACTTTTTTGGTTAGGTTAGAAATAGCTAGTGTACAATTTCCCATTAGAAATACGTAACATTGGATATATAGAAGTCATGCATAATTCATTCTTTTGATATATATAGGAGTATAATTTTAATATGAGAAAATTAATTAAATCAACGTACAATCTAGAGATGATGGTGGCATCGATAAAAAGGTTCATTCCCGATATTTTTGAAGGAATATGCGGCGGAATATTAATGTTTTGTTGCAAAGTAAAGAGTATTGGTACATATATTATCTGTTTTGATGACAATATCTTAATCGTTTCATAAAGTTTCAACTAGTCTCTTGCAGGTAAATGGCATGGTATTTACATGTCACAGTTTACCAAAAAAAAATAAATAAATAAATAAATAAAAATGGTATGGAGTATGAACAAGAACCATATAGACAAGTGTAGATGTTGCACAATATATACCAACATATTGGATATGGACTAACCGAACCCAAAATATTACCCCAAATCCAACCCAATCCCTTTTTAGTCAATGAACGACACCGTGATCTGGAAAACAAAACTAATCCATAGAATAGAAGGGCATATAAGTAAATATAGGATAATGAAAATGCTTGAATGATGATGACAATGACTTGGTTGTGGAGAACTGATATGATCGATATGGAGCCACGAACAAATACGATGATGGACTCCGTCTGATTAGATTTGTAAAGCCAACGAGATGGTAACTCGTGTGACGTGGATCCACCACTTTTAATCACATCACATATATATTATCTATTACTATATAATACGAAGAAGAAAAATTATTTGAACAATCCGAAAAAAATTATTTCGTTTTCCCGCTTCAATATAGTGTTTTTTCCGCTTCTTCAATTCGTAAAATTTTTTTTTTTAATTTTTTCAGCCCATGCAATTAAGTAATCAATCAAATCGAATCTTTTAGCATTCAATTTGGTAAGGTGTTCCGATTTTAGCATTCAAATCCGATTTCACTTCATTTTTTTATGCCAATCAATCCGATTTTTTTAGTTGTTTCAAAATTTGTTTAGATTTATATTTTTATTTTATTAATATATTTGAAAGAGAATCAATAAATGTTTATCATAACTTTTATTTTAAAAATAAATTTAAATAAGCATACCTTTTACTTTATATGAAATTCAAAATTACATATTTTAATATATTAATAAACGTTTATTATTTATTTTTTCCTTATGTGATATAATAGAATTTCGGTATTAAATTTGTAAATTCAAACATTTAAAGGAAAAGATTCCAAACAATTTATTTGGGTAAATTTCATTTTATCTTGTTTTTATTATCACATTTCTAACAAACTAATTAGTATTATATTTTTTTATCTACATTATCTAACCGACTTTTTATGATACAATTAATATAATATCTTAACAAATTAATCATTTGTCTAACCGGATTTATCTCTCTAACAAACTTGCCAATTTTTTTTAAAATTAAAATGGTATGATTATTCTTATGGAGATACTTATCAATATATTAAATATTTAGAAACTTTTTTTAAAAAATGAGTTATCCCTCCTTTTACTTTATTTGAAATTCTGACTTATATTTTTAAATATATTATTATTTATTTTTTTACATGTAAATATCTATTATTTATTATCTAAGTGATAAATATTATTGATTTATCTCTTTAATAAATATTTATTATTTATTTTTTTTCTTACGTGATATAATGTAAATTTGGTTACTAAATTTTTAAATTCAAACATTTAAAGGAAAGACCACGAACAAATTTTTTGGTTACATTTCATTTTATTTTAACTTCCATATAATCACAATCCTAACAAACTAATTAGTATAATATTTTTTTACCCATTTTATATAATCGGATTTCTTAAAATATAATTAATATAACATTTTAATTATTTAACCATTTGTATAACTTGATTTAACTCATTATCAAACTTGCCAATTTTTTTTTTGAAATTAAAAAAAATTTGGAAGATTTTTATTTGTAAAATAATAAAAAATAGATTTACTTTAAAGTCTGAATTATTTTTATTATTTTTTGTACGTTAACAATCATATATTTTGGATTATTGATTTAAAAAAATAAATCAAAACCGTAAGGTTTAATAATATTCCTTAAATAAAAAATATTGTATAAAGAAAAGTATTTAATAATATATATTTTTCATTGATTGTATTTATTTTATTTTCATAATAGACGAGAAGTGAAAAATATAAATAATTATATTTAAAATAAAGTCTAAAAAATGTTTAAAATATGAACTCTTCCGTGCATCGCACGGGATATACACTAGT